TCACATTTCGCGTTTGCTGTTCTGTGCTCCGTCGCCAGCGACAAAAAGACGAGAGCGACGTACGAACACCTCAAAACGGAACCACCCATCGGATAACCCCCCCCCCCCCCCCCCCCCCCCGGCACCTTAAGTGACGGTTGACTTGACGTACAACCGCAACGGACGGTCACCACGACCTGGGCCCTCGGAGTGCACGCCTTCTCCGCGACCTAAGACAAACGAATAGCCAGCCAGAAGCCAGCAGAAGGCCATCACCTACCTCATCAGATTGAGGCAGCGGGGACAAGACGGCACCCTCGACAGCCCGCATGCCCCAGGGCGCACTGATGCGCTGAGCCCCGAGCGTTGAGCCGCCCGTGAGAATCCAGACCCTGGGTTCCTTCGTTCGACCCGACGCTGGACCCAGGTCTGGCCCAGGGCCGACGCCCGATTGTTCACCATGTCTCGTGGGCCTCCGCCGCCGGCTGGGGCCAATGCCTACACCTTTGGCGACTTCGACTTCAACTCGCTCGTCACGGATGCTGTACGTTTGACCCCTCCACTTCTTCCGTCACCTCTCACCGTCCCGCCTGTCGTTTCACTCTTCGACCTTGTTCCGCTTTCCCGGGCACCGAAGCGCAACCCCCCCTCCTGAGTCCCCCATTCTACCTTTCCCATCTCTTCGTTAGCTTGCCGTTCATCCATCCAAACCCACATGCACAGCGCACCCCACGGTCCATTGCGACCGCACGCTGCTACACTGACCCTGCGCGCGCCGCGACGCTGATCCTCACCTCGCCCTCTGCTGGTACCGAGCCGTCTGACTCTGTTCTCTGCACCCCGCCCCAGGAAACGTCGCTGACCCGCCCCCTCTCCAATGGAACAGATGGCAGATGACCCCAGCATGATGGCCATGCTGGGCGATAGCTCCATGTACGACAATTTCGACTCGATGGGCATGAATCTCGACAACCCACCCGACGACACATCCCTCGCTCAATTCAGCGTCCAGATGAACAACAACCAGGTCGCCGCCGCCGCCGCCATTGGGCAGGCCATGCGCGATGGCAGCCCCATGTCACCGCAGCAGAAGAATGGCTCCAACTTCTTTTCCTTATCAGCAGAGGATCACCAGGGCTCTGGTCCCGGCGCCGGCCCCGCGCCAGCCGCCGGCTTCAGCTCCCAGGCTAACATGCCCGGCGGCAACACCCTGACCGAGTTCACGAAGCGCCGGAACTGGCCCGCCAAGGTCGTCGAGGAGCTCAAGGACTTCCTGCAGATTCTCGACGCCAATGGTCGCATTCGCTTTGTATCGCCGAGCATCCTCAGTGTTACCGGCTACAAGTCGGAGGAGATTGCCGACAAGTTTCTCAAAGACTTTATTCACGATGACGACGTTGGTGTTTTTGTCGCCGAGCTCAATGAGTCCATCGCCTCTGGCAACCCGCTGCGCATGTTTTACCGTTTCAAGAAGAAGGACGACACATATGCCATCTTTGAGGCCGTCGGCCACGCTCACATTGCAGCGGCGAAATTTGCGCCGAACCCCCACAACCAGTCACCTTTCTGTCAAGCCGTGTTCATGATGCGCGACCCTACCCGACGAGAACGCAAGGCTGCTCGACTCGTTTCTCGAGCACAAGATTGACAAAATTGAGAATGAGCGGCCATCGCCTGAGCTGAGGCGCGAAGCTGAGGCGCGAGGGAGGAAGCGCAAGAGGCAATGGGCGAGACAGGACGGACGGTCGGACGCGACCCCTTCGGAGACGACCATCAAGTCCTCGTTCGTGGGCAGGCCGGCGCTCTATCACCAGAACACCAGCGGCAGCAGCACATCCATGGGCCCGCCGCCGGACAGGACGCCGCTCAACGTGGCATTAACACGCGAGGCGCTGGAAGGCGTGGCCAACAGCCGGCCAGACTCGCTCAAGGAGAAGATGGCGCGGTACGAAGGCTCTCACGCCGAGCAGATTGAGATGCTGACAGGACTAAACTACGTCGATGGCGAGCGGAGCAAGGGCATCACGACGGGCAACGCGAGCCCGACGCTCATCAAGGGCGATGCGGGCATCGCGATACCGATGGACCGGGACCCGCGCACGGGCGATAAGAAGAAGAAGCTCAAGACTTCGGAGGAATACGTGTGTACGGATTGTGGTAAGTTCTCTCGGGCGCCGAACGGCCCTCTACGCTGGTTTAACCTGGTCTTCCGACACGAAACGTGGACATGACATGCACGCTAACGCCTGCGGGTGACAGGCACGCTCGACTCGCCCGAGTGGCGGAAGGGTCCCAGTGGGCCCAAGACGCTATGCAACGCGTGCGGCCTGCGGTGGGCCAAGAAGGAAAAGAAGGTCAAGAACAGCCCGAGGATGGGAGGAGGCGCCATGGCGGAGTAGGTGGAAAGGTCTTCCTGACGGAGAAACGAATTTAACAGTGCCGTGGCCATGGCCTGTGCCCGTGGCCCGTTGCGGCGCTGATGATGGTAACGGAACGTACTACACGCGCAGAAAGCAGCGCATGGGCAACGAAGACGAGGCAAGCTGTGAAGCAGCAAATCCTATGCCAGGGGCAGAGGGAAAGGTGCGCGGGAGTGAGGAGCAGAAGCTGAAGAAGCCAGACGCTGACGACGACGACGACAATGTTTCATCTGTACAACATGATGGGAGGCACAAAGGGAGCACGACACAGTCTGACAGGCGGGAAGCGACCTGCAAGCTTGGAAAACTTGGGTCGTTTCACCGCCAAGCGGAGGAGAGCAGCAGGTGAGGGGGTGTCAAGAGATAAATCCTGGATGTGCTGCTGCTGGAGCTGAACCCGTGCAGCTTGGCCCAGGCCATTGAACATGTCGGCCAAAAAGACAATTGGCCCAGCAGGACGCTGATCCAGTACTTGATCCCCTAGAGGGGCCGCGATCCCCTGTTGCGCGGGCGGGTTACAGGTGATGGTGGGCTTGGAGCGGCAGCGGTAGTGGGGTAGCTGTGTGGTAGGTTCGGCCGTCGTGATGGACGACCCCGCAATGCGTCATGGAGCTGTCAGTGCCCGCGGGAGCTCGAGTGGGGTGGAATGCATTGGCGGTAGCTGCCGATTTGCATGTTCCTAGAGGAACCTGAGGGGAAGGTATGGCCGTGACAGCCTTTCCTACTTATCTACCTGGTGTCTGCTTGGTGTGACTTTTGTCTGTTCCACGTCCTCAAGCTACCTGAGAAATATCAGTCTATTGGCGACAGCTTCATATTCACCCCATTGCAGTGCTTCACATACTGCAATACTTTCTCATCTACACATCTTGCACCTACATCTTCATCATGGACAAACTCATCAGTATTGGAAAGGACCTGCTCGATGATAGCGGAAACAAGCAGCAGCAGCAGCAGCAGCAGCAGAACCAGCAGGCCGGCGGGTTCCAGAGCCAGCAGGAGCACGTCCAGCAGGGTCTCGCCGGCCAGTACCAGGGCCAGAGCCAGAGCTCCGGCCAGCCTCTTCCCGGAGGCAACAGTACGTCTCCCAGCCTGCCCACCTGCCCCTCCTCTTCCTCGTCCCCCCCCAGACCTGACGCCCCAGCAGAAGCAGCAGGCGGCGCCTACGGCCTCCCCGGCGGCGACGACGACGACCTCCGCTCGGCCGCCGACCAGGCAGCCCAGCACGCCGGCAGCCACGGCGACAAGGACCTCTTCAGCGGCATCGTCGGGGCGCTGACGCAGAACCGGGCGTCGGTGCAGCAGCAGGGCCTCGACGAGGACGACGTGCTGGCCAAGTACAAAAAGTTCTTCGGCGGCGAGGCGCAGCGCGGCGACAGGGCCGACGACAAGGGCCTCGGCGCCGCGGCCGCGCTGCGGGCGCTCAAGCTGTTCAACAGCGGCGAGACCGGCGGGCAGAAGGACACGCAGGGCGGGTTCCTCGCGCTCGCCATGGCGGAGGCCAGCAAGCTCTTTGACGACAAGGCGGGCCGGGGCGAGGTGGAGCAGGGCACCAGCAAGCAGAGCGTCGTGCAGCAGGCCGGCGAGGTGGCTATGAAGCTGTACTTTAAGAACCAGGCCGAGCAGCAGGGCGGGCTCGTGGGCATGGCGAGCAAGTTTCTGAAGTAGCGAGGCCGGGCGGGGATGATGTGACGAGATGGGGAAATGGACAAGAAAACGCCCTCCCCCCCAAAAATGTGAAATCAAATTCAAGAAACTGGCTGGGCAGGCTAGGATAAAATCACGACTATACTAAATCCCATTCGACAAATTCTTTCTACACACTCTGCTTCCCCTTGGCCTTGGCCTCCTTGGCCAGCTTCAGCACGTCCACCCACGCCTCGGGCCGCACCCTGCCGCCCTCGACCTTGTCGCTCAGGTATCGCTCGCCCTCGCCCGCCCACGCGAGCAGCTGCTCCTCGGCACCCCACTCGCCGAGCGCCATGAGTCCGACGGGCAGCCTGCCGCCCTCGCCCTCGCTCTCACCCTCGGCGGGCGCCGCGTAGCCCACGGGCACGGTGACGGCGGGACAGCCGGTGAGGTTGGCAAGGAAGACGTACGACATGGCGGCAATGGTCTTGTTGGCGTCGCTCATGCCGCGGGCGTCATCGCCGGCGCCGCGGCGCCAGCCGTTGAGCGGCGACGTCGGCGTGACGAGCAGCAGGCCCGGGTGGGCCTCGAACAGCGAGGCGAGGTGCTGCATGATGAGCTGGCGCAGGCGGCCGGCGCCGAGGTAGTCGGCGGCCGGGGTCTGCGAGGCGATGGACAGCAGCAGGCGGTTCGGCGCGTTGATGACGGAGCGGTACTCGGGCAGCCGGGCGCTGATGTCGGCGTGCATCTCGGCGATGCAGAGCAGCGAGTGCACGAGCTGGGCGGCGCGCAGGTGCGGCAGCGCCGTGTCGAGCACGGCGTAGCCCTGCGCTTTGTAGTGCGCGAGGGCGTCGTCGCAGGCGGCGCGCACGGCCGGGTCGGCGCGCGCCCACCACGCCTTGTCGATGGCGATGACCTTTTGGTGGGTGGCCGACGGCGGCGGCAGCGACGGCGCGAGCTGGGCCTGGCCCGGGTCGTCGGAGCGCGGGCGGGCCATGACGCGGTAGGCGAGCGTCAGGTCGGTGACGGTGGCGGCGAGGGGCCCCGTGACGCAGCACGAGTGGCGCATGGTCGTGGTACGGTGGTGCGTGGGCTTGAGGCCGTAGACGCCGTTGGCGGAGGCCGGCACCCCGGATGCTGCCGCCCGGCGTCGGTGCCGATGGCAATGGGCACGAGGCCGGCGCCCAGGGCCGAGCCGCCGCCCGACGACGAGCCGCCCGGGTAGTAGGCCGGGTTGTGGAAGTTGGTGGGCGTGCCCCAGGTCGGGTTGCAGCCGGACGTGTCGGAGCCGAGCTCGTGCATGGCGTTCTTGGCCACGACGATGGCGCCGGCGGCCTCGAGGGCCCGGATCGGCCCGGCCGTCTCCTTGGCGGCGGCGAAGAAGGGCAGCTTCGGGTAGTACCGCAGCCCCATGTGCGACACGTAGCCCTCGACGTCAATGTCGTCCTTGACCGACACGGGCACGCCGTCGAGGGGGCCGAGGGGCTTGCCCTCGGCCCAGCGCTTGGTCGACGCCTCGGCCGCCTCGCGGGCGCGCCACTCGTTGTCGTAGCTGTCGACCCAGGCGTTCTGGTACTTGTTCTCCGGCGTCTGGTTGCGGCGCGTCAGCGGCAGCAGGGCCGAGACGACGTCGAGGGGCGTGAGGGTGCCGTCGCGGTAGAAGGTCTGGTAGTCGACGCTCGAGAGGTAACGACCCTTGGCTTCGGGCGCCGGGGTCTTGAGGTCGAGGCCAAAGTCGAGGTCGAGCTCGGTGTTTTCTTCGCCCCTGATCGGCAGGGGGACGACATCTGGCTGGCAGGAGGGAAGAAGAAGACAAAAGTCAGCTGGTTGTGATGGATGGAGCGGGGGTTCCACACGTCAACCTACGTGGAGGCGGTAATCATAGCCGGCAAGCTCAGGCATGTCGCGCGTGACGCCGAACTTTGCGTTGTTCCAGAAGAACCTCTGCAGCGTGGGGACATTGTTGACCCTACATTGTCAGCCGGGGCGAGTTCAATGGGCTCCTCCCGGGGGGTGCCTAGCTCGAGGCAAGACGTACAGGCTCGCGGCGGCGACGAGTGCGAGTCCATGGAGGATGGGGTTCTTGTCCTCCTCAGCGGCGTCTGCCGGGGTGGCGCTGAGCTTCACAGCTTTGGCTCCGGGATAGTTGGCGAACGGTCTGTTGGGGGCCATGATGGGCGGGTCGAGATGTGGTCGTGTTGTGGAAGTCGGGAGAAGATGTAGACAGGCAATGGGGGCAATTGGTATCCGTGGGTGACGAGGAGATGAGTTCAAGGCCGTCAAAGGGCAGCAGCGTCCCACATATGATACAACGACGTTCCTTCCTGGATGAGGTCAGACGGGGGATGGGGGCGGAGATAAACGAGGCGGACCCCGCGGATGGTCGGTGCAACGATGGGGACCCGACGGCACGATCCCACCTGCTCTCGTCTGAAGCAACCTGCCTAGGTAACTACAGCACCCTGACCAGCCTGAGTACCTCCCTATCTACCGACCTACATGTACCTGCCTAGGTAGTAGGTAGACAGTACTCCAGCAGTGCGTAGCTCCCGCTAGCGCAGAGCTTCAGGTGGAGCTCGGCCTCCCCCTCCCGGCATGTGATGCGGCTCACCCCAGATTCGTGCAGCTTGCCTATCTACATAGTACGTCTATCAGTGCACTGATGCTATGCAAACCTACCGGGCCAAACGGATCTACCGGACTGCCTCATCACTTCGCTGTCGTGTGACAACTCCTCGTATGCTAGCGCTGCAACACCAGCTCAGACACCTCAGGCACTGAAGAAACTGTTTCAAATGGAGCATATAATCCCAAAGTATGTGCTAGGTTTCCCACTATCCTACAAAAGCCTGCTCGACGACCCATCACTGAGCCCATCCCTTGCCCTCACCCGCAATCGTGCTCTCCCGAGCGTCCTGGTACTTCCACCGGCTGGGCTCAAAGATAATCTCAAAGCTGTTGTGGTTAAACGTTCCAATGGCGCAGCTCAGATCGTGGTAGCCCTCGAGACCCGTGACCGGCAGGTCCTCCTCGGCATCACCCTCTTCGTGCAAGTTCCAGCTGCCCACAATCTTGCCCTCGCGCGTGAAGAAGATGTCGACGTTGATGCTGCCGTCGCCACGAGGCGATAGCGACATGCCGATACCCACCGTCTCGCCGACTCGGAATGGCTCCGTAAACGAGTGACCGCCGGCCCAGTCGTTGACGTACTTGTGGCCGTCATCGCCGTGGACGGCCAGCGATCCGCGGTGCCACCCGGGCATGCGGAAGTTGGGATACGGCAGTGCCGTGAAGCCCAGCGCGAGGTCGACCTCGTCGGGCCGGCTGTCGGGGCGGATGTGCACCTCGTAGTAGATGCGGACGGGGCGGCCCGTGACCAGTGGCGAGTGTGCGTGCGCCGAGTACAGCGGGGGGTAGCCAATGATACAGCTGTCCTTGGCCGAGACATCGGTGCGGCCTTCCCACGTGCCCGGGACTGTGGCCGAGGGCGCGAGCGTACCCCGAAAGTTTTGCGGCTGCATGAGGTTGATGTTGTGCGTACGGAGCGCCTCATGCGCTTGTGGTGGCAGCGGCACAGGCTGGATGAGAGGGTACTGGTCGCACCATGCGGCGCCAGCATGGGCCTCCTGCTCGGAAGCATTGTTCGCCGGCGAGCGCTCAAAGCCGGTGAAGAAGGAGGGAGGGGGTGGGAAGAGCGACGTGTCGGGCACGGCATGCTGCCAGTCGTGCTGGCTCTTCGAGTCGGTAGGGGGAGGACCGGGAGGCGGCGCGTAGTCTCCGCCAGGAGGAGGACCGGCAGGCGGGCCGTAGCTGTCACCTCCTGGGGGCGCACCAGCAGGAGGGCCATAGATATCGCCACCGGGTGGCGGGCCCGGCGGCGGGGCAAAGTCACCGCCAGCAGCCGGTGGTCCTCCGGCGGGCGGTCCTTCAACCGGCAGCGCAAACTGGCCGTGGCCAGGAGGGGGCCCGGCAGGAGGGGCATATGTCTCGTGTGTTCGCGACTCGGGAGGAGCGTAGCTTCCGTCGGGAAGCAGACGTACAGGGCGCTCCGGAGCATCGTGCGTCTCATGACCAGGAGGGGGGCCGGGAGGGGCAGAGAAGCCCGGAGGAGGGCCAGCTGGTGCGTCGTAGTCTTGGCCCTGAGGAGGACCCGGAGGCGCTGCGTAGCCGCCATTCACATTATGGCTCGGAGGAGGCCCACTCGGGGGTTCGTACTGGTGGGGTGGAGGGCCGGAAGGCGCCTCTGTGTTGTGTCCGGGCGGGGGACCTGGCGGTGCAGAGAAGCCGGGAGGCGGCCCGGGAGGCGGCCCGGGAGGGGGCGCGAACTGCTCGTTGTGATCATGGTGTGGCGGCGGGGAGCTCGGCGCGGCATATTGGGCGGGCGGGGGTCCCGAAGGAGGAGCATAGCCGTTACTGCTGGAGGTCTGAGGAGGAGGAGGAGGGCCGGCAGGAGGTGCGTATTCGCCATGGCCAGGAGGCGGCCCCGAGGGAGTAGCATAGTGGTCGTGATTGGAGGCTGACGATTCGCCTTGTTGTGGCTGTTGGTGGTTCTGGCTCTCCTTCTCTTGGCGCTTCTTCTCGCTCGACTTGCTGCGGATGCTCGCGGGCCGAGCAAAGCGCTGGGAGCCAGCGTGGGAGGCGCGGGGCGAGGAAGCCTGCGCAGGCCGCGCCGCAGGCGTATCATCTTTTTCGTCCTTGCCGAAGCACATGGTGGGAGGTCGGAGACAGGGAACGACGTGAGGTTTGTATGTCGGGAAGATGGGTTGCGGCGGGAATCAAATGTTGGAAGACGTTGCGACGTTGGCTTTCGAATTGAGGCCCGCCACTGAAGGTTGAGCACGCTGATATGGGGCGATCGCGCTGGACCAGTTCAAAGACGAGTGTGTTCAGGTGGGAAGCAGGAGGGAAAAGAAGCGACAGAGAGGAGATGTCGCCAGAGTGGTGGCACTTTTGAGCTGGGGCGGTGCCTGTGACTATTGTCTATTGTCTGGGCAGGCGCGGGTGTGATGAGGTCGTCGGGAAAGCGCAGCCCACCGAGCGAGGCAAGAGCTCTCTTGGCGATTACCCTTTGAGCACAAGCTCCTTCCTACTCCTCCCACCTGCTGCCCCGCACCCTTCGCCGTTGTACCATGCTAAGCTGCGAGCCTGCCATTGCGCATTTCCGTTTCCTCTATCGTGCCTTGTTAGGTCTCAAGGTCTCTAGCTGTGAGGCAAACATGACGCTGCCCATTGAACACTGTTTGCCCGCGCTTGATGGCAAACAATCCAAACCTGGCCATTGCATGTCACTGTCGACCCATCCAGGCACCACCTGCGGTTGGGGACGGCCACGGGGGTGGGAGGCCGCCTGGCCATTGGTCTGAGGACCCCCGCTGCCACGAGTAGTCTGCCTGGCCCGTGCTCAAGCTTACGCTTGAGCCAAGACATGGTTGAGCAGCTCCTGCTCGGCCCATTACCGCGACCTACCTTCCGCATCATCCTGACGGTTGAGGTCATTCAGTTCCGTTTTCTGCTCGACCGTAACAGCATAGCCGTTACGCTGTGCCGCACCGTTGAATCACAGAGGCATCACGTTCAAGGGAGACGGCGCCTGGCTCCAACAGCCTGTAGTCTTGAACAGCCTGTAGCAGAGCAACAGGGCAAGCAGGCCAGCTCCCATTCCAAGTGTTACAACAGCTTCCATCGTACATGAACGTGCCCATCCACCCTCTACCACTCGGCGACCTCGCCCGCCTTGGGCTTCTGCATCCGGACCACCTTGTCGCAGTTAAGCAGGCAGAGCGGGTCGAACGCCTTTTTGATCTGTCTTGTGTCAGTGGGGTCTCCAGGAGAGGCTGTATGGAAGGAAAAGGCGTCTCCAGGAGAGGCTGTATGGATGGAAGGCGTCTCCATGCAGAGGCTGCTGTACATACCTGTCGCATGGCGTCGACAGTCGTCTCGCCGAGCTCGTGCGGGAGGTAATCCCTCTTGACGAGGCCCACGCCGTGCTCGCCCTGCTGCTGTCAGTCTGCGTACGCACAAGGTTCTGGCCGGATGCACATACCGTGACGGTGCCCTCCATCTCGACGGCGCGCTTGACCATGTTGTGCACGAGCGTCTCGGCCCGCTTGCGCTCCTTGTCGTTGTACAGCAGAATGACTGGCCCGTTAGATGTGTGTGCCCGGTGCCGACGAAAACGAGGCGTGACGAGGAAGGAAGGAAGAGAAACTCACTGTGAAAGTTGCCGTCGCCGACGTGGCCCACAATGGTGCCGAAGAGGCCGCTCTTGCCCATGGCGTCCTTGGTCTCCTCGATGATGTCGGGCAGCCGGCTCATGGGCACGGCGACGTCGCCGGTCCAGACGTGGTCGCCGTCGCGCTTGGCGGCCATGGTGCTCCAGAGGGCCTCCTTGCGGGCGCTCCACAGGTCGTGCTGCTCCTCCTCGCTGCGGGCAAACTCGAACGACCTGCCGCCGGCCTGGCCGGCGAAGCCCTGGACGAGGGCGACCTGCTCCTTGACGCCGCGCGCCGTGCCGGCAAACTTGAAGAAGAGCGTCGGCGCCTCCTGCCAGGCGCGGCCCGTCGTGCCCGAGTCGTTGATGCAGCGCATCTGCAGGTCGTCGAGGATCTCGACGGCGGCGACGGGCACGCCGGCGCCGACGACGCGGGCGACGCAGTTGGCGGCGTGGCGGATCGAGGGGAAGGTGGCGACGGCGACCGACGTCGACGCCGGCTTGACCGTCACCTTGAGGGTCGCCTCGGTGACGAGGCCCAGCGTGCCCTCGGACCCGATGAAGAGCTTGGTGAGGTCGTAGCCGGCGGAGCTCTTGCGCGGCCGCTGGCGCGTCTTGATGACGGTGCCGTCGGCGAGCACGACGGTCAGCGAGAGCACCCACTCGCGCATGGTGCCGTAGCGGTAGGCGTTGGTGCCGCTGCAGCCCGTGCCGACCATGCCGCCGATCATGGCGCCGGGGCCCGGGTCGGGCGGGAAGAAGAGGCCCGAGGCGCCGAGCTGGTCGTTGAGCGCCTCCCACCCGACGGCCGGCTGCACGACGACGTCGAGGTCGGCCTCGTGCAGCGCCAGCACCTTGTTCATGCGGCCAAAGTCGACGCACACGCCGCCGCGCGTCGGCACAAAGTGGCCCTCGAGCGACGTGCCGCCGCTGTAGCCGACGACGGGGATGCGGCGCCGATGGCACACCTTCATGATGGCCGCCACGTCCTCGGTCGACGAGGGGAAGACGACGCAAAAGGGCCGCTCCGACGCCTTGGCCGGGTGAGACGACCACTCGGACGACGCGTGGTGGTCGAGGTCGTTGGGCGCCGTGCTGACGTGCTCCTTGCCGAGAATGTGGACAAAGTCGGCCCACGCCGCCTGCATGTTCTCCATGTTGGTCTTGTGCTCGGGCGCGATCGTCTTGTCGAGCGGCAGCGTCGAGTCCTCGCTGGGCTTGGGCGGGTAGAGCGTGCCGAGGTAGTAGGACGAGCCCATGGTGAAGAGCAGGACTGCGGGCAGGACGTGGTCAGCTTTGGGGGGGGAGGCTCACTCTTATGAGGAGATCAAACAGTGAGCTGCACATACCAAAGGTCAGGGCATAGCTCCGGCTTGACGCCGACTTTTCACGCTCATTGGCAAACCGCTCGCGATCCGCCCTCTCGCGCGCCAGACGCTGCGTGATGCTGCCCGTCACCTGGCCCTGGAACGACCGGCCGGCCTTGTCCTCGTTCGACACGCGCTCGGGGGGCTTGCTGTCGGAGGCCAGGTGTCGCAGGGCGTAGGCGGTGCTGCGGGGTGTCGTGCGGAAACGCCGCAGGGCGCTCTGGGAGGCGTGGGCTGGGAGGCGGGCCATGATGATCTGATGTGTGGTTTGCTCGAGGGGAGGGTTTGTACTGAGGATGGTCGTCGACTGGCTCAGGCCATGCGGCGGGGGACGCAACGCATGCGTTGATGGGTGATGGCAATGTCGCTTCAATTGAGATGGCAGGCGAGGGCTCGTGTGTGTATGCTTGTGGCAAGTCGAGAGACAGCAGCTCCTCGGTCGTGGGTTGACTGATGTTCTTGGTGCTGGGTATGGGTAGGAGCTACCTTGTACTGCCAACTGCAAATGCAAATGCAATGCAAAAATCGGGGTACATAGTACATGGTAGCTTCGGGCGGTGCAAAGGGATCGCCGCCTTGGCTCGGTCAGCTCCAATCCCACTCTTCCGACCCACTGCTCCGGCCCGGTACGCATATCTGCCCCTCTGGCCCCTTATTTGTGATGGCTACCGTGTCAGTGCTTGGTTGAATCGAGTGTCACGCCATTTATACATTCGTGGTATCATTGTATTCATAAAGGTGCTCCTCGCTTTTCCTGCTGTCAAGGCACATGGCCTCCGATCATCGGATGTACAGTCGAACATGCATAGTCCCACCCCAAAACCCTCCTAGGTCTGGCATGGCCTCGACACTCAACTGCCATGACCATGACCAGCTACATGGCAGTCGCACTTTATACTACGTTGTTCTCTGCCTGCCTGCTGCCGCTCTCAACCACACTCAAGCTGGCCGCCACCCAGGCACAAGCTGCACAGAGAACGTCGGCGTCGCTCCATTCAGATGCGTCAAGTAGGCCTCGAGCTCGGTATCGCCGTCAATCAGCAGCGGCATCTCGCCGCCTTTGCCGTCCTTCAGAATGCCTTCGACACGCAGGCACGCGGCATTGGGGAACTTCTCGACCGCCACATGCCGTAGCTCCCGCACCGAGTGGGTGCTCATCGTCGCTATCCAGAGAGAGGTGCTCGTCTCGTAGGTCGAGAGGGGGCTCAGTCGTAGGAAGATGGCCGTGCTCGTGGACGGCGGCCCTGGTGCCGCTTGCTGCTGAGGTGACATGTGCTGATGTTGCTGTTGCTGCTGTTGCTGCTGTTGCTGCTGCTGTTGCTGCTGCTGTTGGTAGGCCGCCGACTCGCTGTTCACCGCCATCAGCAACGACGATCCCAGCGTCGAATCCAGGACCACCCGCTGTGGATTGTGTGGGGATGCGTAAGGCTGCTGCGCGCTGACTTGAGGATCGGGGTAGCTCGACTGATACATGTGATCCTGCCCGTTCCCAGCAGTCCCGTCCCCGTCCCCGTCCTGATCCTCGGCGTGAGGATTGTCGCCCATCGGCACATCCGCAACCACGAGGCGGGGTTCGAGTCCTGGGCGGCCTGCCTGTTGCTGCTGGATCTGTGTCCGGGTCTGCTTGGTAGCCTTGCCTGCAGTCTGTGCACTCGGTGTTGTCGCGGCCTTCTTGCCAGCCTGTGCCTTCTTCGCCCGTCCAGCATCGTCCCATCGCCTCTTCATGACATCGCGGGCCAGCAGCTCGAGAGCCCGCAGCTTGTCCTCGTGCGTCGACTGGGGGTTGCCAGACGTCAGCACGCGCTGCACAATCGGACACCGCTGGCCCCACTGGTTCTTGAGGTCATTCCACTGCCTGACGCCGGCCTGCGTCTTGCTGTGCACGCCGTTCTCCTCGACGAGCTTGTACCACGACGCGCGGAGCTGTCTCGTCTCCTCGGGGTTGATGCCCAGCACGACCCGGGCGTCGGGCAGCGTGAGGTTGCGGTTCTTGACGCGCAGGCGCTTGGTGCAGTCGGTGCAGATGACGTCGAGCGCCAGCTTCTTGCCGTCGTGGTTGTCTCGGCTCTGCCACATCTCGGCCTCGAGGGGCGGGAACTGGCGGATGAGCTCGTCCTTGAGGGCTTCCCACCTGTCCGGCCCGGCAATCGTCTTCTTGACGACGCCCGCCTCCTCGCAAAGGCGCGTGAAAATGGCGCGCATGCCGACGTACGAGTCCTCGTCCAACCCCAAGATGGCTTTCGCCTCGTCGAGCGTCAGCTCGGACGGAAACCTCGGGGGGGCCGCCGCATCCCTCGACCGCAGGCCAAACACCTTGGTCAAGCGACGCGGCTTGTTGTGCCCTTTGCCAGCAGGCGACGTCTTCACCGGCGCCGGAAACAGCTCGACAACCGGTTGTTGCTGCTGTTGTCCCTCGCCACCAGCAGCAGCAGCACCCGATGGCGCCCGTTCCTGATCCTGGCCCTGGCCCTGATCCTGGCCCTGGCCCTGATGCCGGCGGGGCCTGGGACTCGCCGGCGTGCCGTCCTCAGCCACGGACTCGTCGTCGTCGTCGTCGGGCCCCTCGGTCGAAGGGCGATCGCCGTTGCGGCCGCGCAGCATGAGGTTGTGCTCCTGCCGAAGCCGCAGCAGCTCG